GTCATCACCACCCGCCGCCAACTCTTGGGGTACTCTTTTTCCAACATATAGTGGGATTGATCGTCACTTTATAACGCCCCCACGGCTGAAAGGGCGTGCATATTTGGTGGGTTATTTTGCTTATTTGTTTGAAGTTAAGCACAAAGCTGCACAATGGGCTATCTGTGCTCTGCCCAGAAATCGAGACCCGGTTTCTAGCGTTGTAAGTCCGCAGACATGCCGCTGTGCCACTGGGGGGGGGGGACATATTTGGTGGGACGGAGATTCGAACCAGCGACCCTCAGATAGCCGGTGAAGCGCCCTGGCCACCTGGCCATCTATGAAAGTGATAACAGTAAGAATTCGCTGTCGATTAGTGGGTGGAGAAAACCTTACAATAAACTTTGATATTACTTTCGCACTTTTTTCACAATCTTCCTAAATTAATATATATTTTTAAATTACTGTATAAAAAATACATTTCTGGAGAATATTTATTCAAACAGTAATCATTTTATTACAAAGACTGCTTTTGAGATATTTCATGATCATCGTTAAAATAATACAAAATAAGAAGATATAAATGGTGATCAAATGTTTACCCCCCAAAAAAACAAGATCTGTCTGGTTTGTTCTATAAAATTTAACTTATATCAGGTGATAAAAATTACACAAAACTTAATTATAAATTCACTCTAGTGAAATAAATGTTGAAACGACAAACATAACTCGAGAGAATTTGATGTTTAACAAAAAGAGGAAACATTATTTTTTTGTTATAAATATATATATAGTTCACTCTTCGAAGTTTGGTTTATAATCCTTAAACTGGTAAGTTTTATTTTTTTGCCATTTTTCAACATACTTTATTTTATATTTTATCTTATTTTATTGTTTATCAGCATCATTGTTTTAATCTTTATTTTATTAAATGTTTCACACATCTTACGTATGAAGACAGTTCCAGAACATTACTTATTTTACTCATATTTATCCCATGTATGTTTACTCTTTACACCTTTCACTTTAGTTGCACTCAACCTCCCTGTTTATGTGTACGTGAGCTCTCTTTACAATCAAAATTTCGCCCTTTCAGCCGTGGGGGCGTTATAATGTGACGGTCAATCCCACTATTCGTTGGTAAAAGAGTAGCCCAAGAGTTGGCGGTGGGTGGTGATGACTAGCTGCCTTCCCTCTAGTCTTACACTACTAAATTAGGGACGGCTAGCGCAGATAGCCCTCGTGTAGCTTTGCGCAAAATTCTAAACAAACAAACAATCAAAATTTATTATTTTATATATATTGTTAAGAGATTTAGAATTGTGATTATTTGTGTCCAAATATCATAAGCATTCAGTCTTTAGTTTCTATATACGGAGAAAAAAATACAATTGTTTTTACAAGGTGTAATGGAAACAGTGACGTTACGTTATATTATTTGCTTTTAATTTCAATTTGAATATTTGTGTATTAGCGTAAAAGCTGAGTGACGATTATGAGTTATCTTGTTTAGTATGCTGTTTCCAAAAGTAGCTGTTTGTGTTTATTGGTCACTAAATAAATATAGATTTACAACAAACCACTAAAAAAATCTCAATATGTGGTTACTAGCTAGTGGGCAAAACAAACGATCTTGACTTGTCTGATGCTATTTATCCTTTTTTCACTTTTAGAGGAAAAAAGTACTAGCACAAGAAGCATCATGTTTTATAACATACGATGATTGGCAAAAGTAGAAGTAAAACAGATTCGAGGTAAGGGCTGTAGGTTGAAGAAGGAATTTTTCTTATCTTCTGCTTTCTATAAAACACAAAAGGTAAGATCTTTAGGGTTAAGAAGGAAATTTCCTTAGCTTCTGCTTTCTATAAAACACAATAACATTCTCAGTTTTTCACATTTCATCTACATTTTTAGAGATGTTATTTTTTTTTTGTACAAAATTACACCAACTCATTAAACAGAAACTCGTCATTTTAAGTATAGTCAAGACTATTTAACTTATACATATTTTTTCCATCACAAGTCACCCAGCCACTCCATCTGCACAACCTTCTAGATATTGAAACTTGGATTGCTGCCTTTTGAGGCTGAGAAATGGAAATGAACATCGTATAAGTTTAGTCTTTGTGAGTTATAAAGCGAAGGGATGAAACATACAGTAACTATACACCTGGAAAAAAGTTAAGCACCCCCGTGTTTTTTTCAAGTGATTCAGATTCGACGTTCTTGTGACTGATTATAAATTACCATTC